AAACCCCACTCCCGCCCGCGCGCCACCCGGAAGTGACGTCGCACGCTGGGGGCGGGGCCACACCATTTAAGGGGAAACCAAAGAGTTTTCCCCTCAAATGGCAGCCATTTGAGGGGGAAACTCTTTGTTTTTTCCTCAAATGGTGTGGCCCCGCCCCAGCATGTGACGTCACTTCCGGTGACGCTCTGGCGGTGCGCGCGCATCCCGAACAAGCTCCCGGAGCGACTGGACGCTCCCCCGCCGGTAAGTATTTTGAATTTGGCAACCCTAGCCAGGAGGACCGCAAGCGCCACTTGGAGTTTGGCAGACCTAAACCCCTCCCCATGTATGTCCCTCTTGGGCACGGGTTCCCCACCAAATATAAATCAGGAACAGTAATAGTTTTCACGGCACAGCTCTGGCAGCTCTACGAGGTCGCCGAGGGCTTTCTGTAAAGGGGACCCCCCCTCATCTCACTCACTGAGGAAGGCCCAGTCTGCATCTAGCATTTGTTCCGCTGTCTGACCAAACCCACGCTGGAACAGAAATCCCCTTCTAGATTGCATGCCACTTTCACTTTGATTATTTGTCGGATTTTACGGCAGTTTGTAAGACGCTCTGACACTCCTTTGGGTAGTGAAGGGCGGGGGTATAAATCCAATCTCTTCCTCTTAAAGACGAACAAAAGTCGTGGCTGGGGAGGAGCTGTCGCGAGTCACGGCTCACTGCTTCAGATAGTTTGCGGAGAGCCAGGAGTGCGGGAACCTTCCTGATCTCCTTGAGCAGGCCGTTCCACAAGGAGGGGGCCACAGTGGAGAAGGCACTGGTGGTGGTGGCAGTTGTTAACTTTGCCCATTTGCAGGTTGGCATCTGCACGACGGGACCCGGCTCAGATGAGCAATGCTGTGGCGGCAGAGCGGGGGGGGGGAGGCAGCCTGACGTAGGTGAGGGACCAAGGCCGTGAAGGGCTTTGTAAGTGCCAGCCAATACCTTAAATGGCAAAACTGAGTGGAGGCTGAAGGGTGAAATCCTCCCTCTCCCTGCCCCACCTGGCCCCGAGGCAAACTGAGGCAGCAGAAGCCTGCTGTCTTGTAAAATGATGTGTGGGGCCTTCATCTCATCCGTCTGAGCCCAAAAGCCACCTAAAGTGCCATCCTAAGTAATGTTCCCTCTAAGCTGAGTTAGTGTGAGCTAGCTCACAGTTTTTTAGCCTCCAGCTCACACATTTTTGCCTTAGCTCAGGAAGGAGGGCTCCAGAGCAAACTAGTTTATGCAGCAGCCAAATTGCTCACTCACAACTTTAATGCCAGTCGCTCACAAAGTAGAATTTCTGCTCACAAGACTCCACAGATTAGAGGGAACATTGATCCTAAGTAGAGCTGTGCCCTGCTGAATTCATTGAAATTAATGGGTTTAGAAAGGTGTCACTCTGTGTAGGATGGCGCTGTTCATGCGTTGAAAGCCACATAGGAAGAAGAGAGACTTTAAACGGATTGCAGTTCCTTCTCTTTGCTCCAGCGCTACTTCACCTTCGATCAGAAGCACCGTTGGGTGCCCAACCGTGGGGTGCCCAGACAACAGAAGAGGAACAGATTGCGGCCTGGTTTCCTTTTCCCTCCCGGCCATGTCCTGAGATTTCCTGCGTGTTTGCGTTTGCAGGGTCAGAGTCTGTACGAGCAGCAAGTCTACTTGGACGCTTTGGAGTCCTTCACTCACGCCTCCGAACTGCAGCCACAGAAGACCCTTTATCGCAGGAGGAGGTAAAAACGCGTCTGGAGTTGAGGCAGGGCTCCCTCGCAACAGAGCCAATCCGCCTGTCACCAGAAAGTTTTAGAAAGTGGTTACAGAATTTGACATGATGTGTTGTAAGACTGTGCAACCGAGTGGTTAATTTTTTTAAAAAAACTTTCAATAAGCTTGCTAAACAGATTATCACAAAGTCCAGTGGCACCTTTAAGACCAACAAAGTTTTATTTTGCATATAAGCTTTTTGGGACCTGTTGCTGCTTTATTGTGTGCTAGCCTGCTACCCACGCTTTGCTACGGTATTTAAGTTCCGTAAATCCAGTTATAATACGGATGATGTAAAATTTGAAATGTGAAGGACCTCTCTCTAGACCACACTGGTGGTTCTGCCCTCAGGTGCTAGGATCGCCAGGCTGCTTGGTGAGCTCACTCTGGAGCAGGCCACATAGAACTGTCCATTTACGAAGCAGTCGTCTGTTAAGTCGACTCCTGCCACCTTCCACAAAAGTGATGGCCTCTCTACTTGTGTTCTTGGATTGTTTTGCTCATATGGAGACTGTTGTTCTGAGCACCTCAGGGTGATCTTGCTGGTACTTGGCCTGTGCAGCTCAGTGCACTGCAGGAGTACTATGTGCAAATGTCTTTGCTGCATTCCTAAGTTGCCTCCTCCTTGTAGCATTGGTGTATCTGGCTCGACGTTTGCCATGAGCTTTCTTGGGGGCAGTAAGAGGTGAGAGGTGTGAGGGGGAGTTGGTGTGAAGGAGTGGTGATGTGGTGGACATTTCTTCAGGTTCATGAGAGAGGCACACATTGAAATGGCTCCTAGAAATGTCCTTTACTATCTCCCCATAAAC